AAAATTACACTCCTTTTTTTTTTTTCTAGGGAGCCTTCCATAGCTTTCAGGCATGCAATATATGATGATTATTCCTATTTTCCAGATAAGGAAACAGAAGCATAGACTGGTTAAGGACTACATTTTTAAAAGTTAGTATCACTGTTTTTGGGAGCCCAGCTGGAGCCACTAAGGACCAGATTATTAAAGGCAGTAGGCATTCGGGGGGGATTTTCAAAAGTGCCTTGAAATAAATGGGAGTTAGGCAGCTGCATGTTTTGAAAATCCCGATTGTTGTTGTTACTTTTTGTTTATGTGTTTTGCTGCTGTGGTAATACAAATAATAATAATAATCCAGCAGCCCAAGTAATGGACCAGGTCCCCGTTGTGCTAAGGGGACACAAGATAATCCCTGCCCGCAAAGAGTTTACAATCTACATGTCTAAATACTAGGGTTGCCAGGCGTCTGGTTTTGGACCGGAATGCCCAGTCGAAAAGGGACCCTGGCGGCTCCGGTCCGCACTGCCAACCAGGCCGTTAAAAGTCCATTTAGCGGTGCAGCGGGGGCCTGAGGCTAAGGCAGGCTCCCTACCTGCCCTAGCTCCATGTGGCTCCTGTCACAGTTCCCCACAGCGACCCCCAGTACCTTTTTCCCTCTCACAGAATGCGCCACACCAGCGCATTCAGCTCTGTGAATACGGCCCCTGCCTAAGGAGACTGCAGCGTGCGCTGGGCGTGCGGGAGCCAACCTGCTCTTATTTGCTGTCCTAGTAGTGCCCTAAATTTTAGGGTGCCCTACGCAGCCACGTATGCCTAAGGACGGCCCTGTTGGCAACTAATGGGAGCTGTGGGGGCAGTGTGTGGAGCCTCCTTGGCTGCCCACGTGTCTAGGGGATGCAGGGACCTGGTGGCCACTTTCTGGTAGCTGCGGTAAGTGCCGCCGGGACCCCTCACTCCCCCAACACCCTGCCCCAGCCCTGAGTCCCTTCCTGCATCCCAAACCCCTCATCCCCAGCCCCACCCCAGAGCCCACACCCCCAACCAGAGCGCCCCCAGCCCGGAGCCCCTTCCTTCACCCAAACCCCTCATCCCTGGCCCTACCCCAGAGCCCACACCCTAGCCCTCTGCCCCAGCCTGGTGAAAGTGAGTGAGGGTGGGGGATAGGGAGCGACAGAGGGAAAGGGGATGCAGTAGGTATGGGCGGGGCCCCAGAGAATGGGCAGAGTAGGGGCAGGGCAGGGGTGTTGGGTTCTGTGCAATTAGAAAGTTGGCAACCCTACTAAATACCTTTTAAAAATCTGGCCCTCTGGGGCTGAGTACCCCCAGCTGATGACTATGAGAGCTGCAGGTTGCTGATGCAAAGCCCACTGAAGTAAATTGAAATATTTATATTGACTGCATGGGGCTTTGGATCAGGTCTATGCACTGAGCACCTCTGACACTCAGGCCCTGGGTATTCCAAAATGGCACCCAGCAACTGCGGCACCCAAACTCAGAGGACCCATTTCAAAATTTAAATCTGCTGCTGGCCACACTTATGCATGGAAATTTTTCCCTTGGAAGTCAATAAGCAACTACACCCCCAGGTGAAGCAGAATGGGTGCTTAAGAGGTCCGAAGGTAGTGGGGCTATCTCAATTGGTTCCTGAGTGCCAAGCCCAAGGTCACTCACATGGGGAGAGTGACACAGAATAAGAGCCCAGATCTTCTAGGCCAGTGGCTCTCAAACCTTTATACTGGTGACCCCTTTCACATAGCAAGCCTGAGTGCAACCCCCCTTATAAATTAAAAACACCTTTTAATATATTTAACACCATTAAAAATGCTGGAGGCAAAGCGCCGTGTGGGGTGGAGGTTGACAGCTTATGACCCCCCCCATGTAATTACCTCATGACCCCCTGAGGGGTCCCAACCCCGTTTGAGAACCCCTGTTCTAGGCCCTACTCATATGACCTGACCACAAGATGAATCATCCTCCCCTTCTTTTCCTGACCCAGCAGAGCAACATGGAAAAAAGGAACTTGGCCTTTCACAGCAAGCACCCTGTGTAATGAGCACCATGGCAATTAATGGAACTACTGCAATGTTTTTTTTCAACAATCAAATAATCTAGTAACTAATGATCGGGCCATCTGGTGTGTGGAGTCTAGGCTGGTGGCCGAGGTGGGGCCGATCCTGCACCCCCTGCTCACAGGTATGGCTTACGCTCGTAAGTAAGAGCCTGTAGGAGCGGCCCCGTTGGGGGCAAGAGCGGTGTCCGCCTCCAGGCCCATGCAGGGCCAGCAGCTGCCTTGAGCAAATAAGAGCAAGGCTCCAAACAGCACCAAGCCGGGCCGGTTCCCGCACCCCGGTGTGAGTGGCAGCCAGGCACAGCGGGGCTGGTCCTGCAGCGGGGCGCGGCCCCTTTAAGGCGCGGAGCAGCGGAGAGCCCTGTGCTGCGTGTGGCGGTGGGGCCGAGGGGGAGCAGCAGCGGCGCGGTGCGTGTGTCAGCGCGGCTGGCACTGGCATTGTTCCCTGACGTCACTCCGCCAGCCCTGCCGCCGCGGCTGCGGCTGCCGCTGCTCTCAAACTTGTCTTTGTTATTCAGCGCTCTCCGGCTGACATGGCGGCTGTCTGCAAAACGCGGCGCCCGGAGTCGGCCCCGCAGCACCTGGACTGGAGCTTCCTCCACGCACGCTGCTGCTGCACCTCCCCGTTACCGACGGCGCTGGCCTCTAGCAACATTCCGCTCGTTTCCCCCCGCGGGGGCCCTTCGGATCTCCCCGCCTGTGGTACATTGCAATAGCACCCAGATCTGCGCCCCTGTATGTCTCCCCACGTTTCCCTAGCTATAGAGGTGACCTGCTGGCGGGGATTTATTATTTACACAGCTGCATATGGCTGGTGCTTTGCAGGCGCGTCAGGAGACAGTCCCTGATCGAATGGGCTCGCTCTGTGCAATAAGGAGCTCTCCACGCCTTCTGGTTGGTCTGTTGCAGACACGGTCAGAGGGGCAAGGGGAGGCAGAAAGCACGCTGGGATTGGGAGATCAGGGGAAAGCACTAAGACCCTTTAGTGGGGTAGATTTGGGAGAGGGACGTGGGAAAAGCACTAAGGAGGTGGGGAGGTTACTTTAGATCGAGGAACAGGAAAAAAATCACTAAGGGACTGATCAAAAGCCCCCCGAAGTTAATGGCCAGGCTTCCACTGACCTCAGTAATGGATCAGGTCCTCAGAGCATCAGTTAAAGTGTTAATGAAAAGCAGGAATAACACTAGGTTAGACGGATTTTTTGGGGGTGGGGAGGGGAGGGGATGGGGCTACATTTTTTGAGGTAATAATAGCTGAGGTTAAATTCTGGTTTGATGATTTATGTATTAGGAAGCAGGCTGGAAAAGAGAAGGTAGCAGTTAAGGGTCTGACCCCTCCCCTACTAATCAACTCTGAATTCCTACTCGCCCTTCTCCTTACCGACGGAACACCCGCGTAAATAAGCGAGCACCACTAAAATGGGTCAGGGAAACAATTGCAGTCGTTAGTCGGCATAAGTGCAAAAGTGTTGCCACCATAAATAGTGCAATGTGAATACAGTTGCAGTTTGACTGATAAAAACATAGTTCCTCCCCCTTCTAGTAACTCGACATCCTTTAAATACTAGATTTCTTTCTCCTCCTCCAACATCAAAATAAATCCGAGCCGATGAAGAGCTCTATAGCACTGTTTAAATTGCTTATCTTAATTGCATAATCTAACAAACCCCGTTGGAACCGGAATGAATATATTAGGCTTATTAACAACTCATCATAAAATATTGATTGTCCTGGAAGTGTTTTATCAGGAGAAAGAGAAGTCGGGGGAGTTGTTTTTAGAGGATTGGTGCTGGTAATAACAAGAAATTGTCCTTGTCTTTTCTTATTGGAAATCACGCTGGACTTGTTCTTAAAAAAAAAACAACAACACCTCACCCTCTATTATTTTTGTTATTCGATTGAACCGCCTAGCAGTAAGGTCTGAGAGCTCATCTTAAAGCCCCGAGATTTGCAGTGACATGGTCAAAAAGTGTGTGGGGCGGGGAGGATAGCTCATTGAATTGATAGCAAGGAACACGATCAAACTTTCAGGGACAATTGGACACCCGCATCCGGAGTGGTTGCTATTAAAATAAAAAACAGCCCCTCCTCTTTTTTTTTCTGTTTTCCCCTCCCTCTTCCCTAAGCCGTCCTTCTTTGGGGAAGCTTGTGCGTGTAGTGATACCGCCACTCCTCTTCGGGCTGGAGATTGTGTTGGCTGGGGCTGCTACCGGCAGTCAGAAAGCTCTCTTAAGGAACGATTCTATTCTCTTGCTAGCCCTAGAAAAGCTTCTCTCCTTCCCCACCAGAACAGAGAGTCTTTTTTCCCGTGCGGCTAGAAGGGTAATCCAGCGCTCCTCTCTATCGGTTCCTTTATCCCTTCCTTCCTGAATCATTAGGGCTGCTCGCCTTGAAAATAAAACCCCACAGAACTAATATAAAGTGAAACGCATCAAAAAGGCAAAAGAGCTTGACCCTTGCAACCAGCCATTCAGTAGTCTCTGTCTCTCCCCCCCCCCGTCTTCCCCAAAACCCCGGCAAAGATCCCCTTTGAGGAGAACATAAACTGGGGCAGCATCGCACGCTTTTAATTACATAAATTCCAGAGTGGGAATATCAAAATATTAAAAATATCAGCAATATCAAAATCCAGAGGGGAGGATAGTCCCATGCGTTCACTCTGGGATGGTTTGCACTGCACGCCATTCACTAGGATTAAGAGGAAGTTTGTGGGTTTTTTTTAAATCCTGTAAAACAATATTTGCATTTTTAACTTTAACTTTGTGATGCGGGGAGGGAAGAGAGGGGGCGAGAATAGAGAGCGAGGGACAGAACATCCCTACAGGAGGCAGCTCCCTTTCAGATAGGAATCTGGGACAGATTTTGCCAACAGCCACAAAGCATGGCCCTTTGGTAATAGAATAGCCAATGTAATTTGACACTTCAACTTGCTGTGCTCTCTGCTAGTTGATTCACTTACTCACCCACTAACATTGAGCTCCTTTTCACTGTCTGTATGGGGGGGGGGGAGCAGGAGAGAGAAACCGCTTTTAAATGAAAAATATTTTTAAAAGCACCTGAACAGAGCTGCCAATCAGTTGGGGAAAGAGGATTTTTGCCTGCCTGCTTTCTTATTATATTGCTTACTGCAAGCCTGCTGTGCAATCTAGGTAAGTTTCGTGTCTATTTCAGTCTTATGTTCACACCTCCCTGTGTTTGTGACCGGGCAAGGATTGTATCTTGAATGAGGCGAAACAATGGAGTAACCAAGCTAAGGAAATATATATGTATATATATATATAGAGAGAGAGAGAACATTTGTTTTTTGCGAGACAAGAAAATGTGTGAAGATTTCTTAAAGGGACAGGTTGTATCTGTGTGTCTGGAAAAGGAAGAGAGGAGAAGGGGGAATGAGACAGAAAAAGAAAACAGGAGATCCAGCGGAAAAGGAAATTCCTTGCCTTTTTGTGATTGTAGCGAATAGAGATTAAGGAGCCAGAGTGTTCTATATTATGGATATGGGGCTCAGATCACTCCCTCACCCTCTTTGAGCTGGGGAGGGAAGGGGGCAGTGTTGGGGAAATAGGTGTCTTGACTGTAAAAGGAGGAATCCTTGAAAATTATAGCAGAAGACGGGGGGTCATGTTGTAGATTTAAGTTTTAAAAGCTGAAACAATGAGGCGAATTAGGCATGCCTGAGAGAAAGAGAGCGAGCGATCTTGTGCCATAAAAACAAAGGAGGTTTTAAAATATTCCGGATAGCTTCTGTTTTCTGGCCAGTTTACCTTTCCTGACTGCTCCGGTTGTGCACCGACAGGCTCGTAATCAATCGAACTGGCACTGAAGAATCTTTGGGGGTAAGGGGTGGGAAGAGGAAGGTTGCAATAGCAAAGTATTTTCCCGGGGGGGGGGGGGGGGGGGGGGGGGGGGGATTGGGCATGTTTTCCGGGCTTTGGGAAGCTTGCCTGAGTGTAAATTCCTTGTGTCTGGGTTTTGAAAGCCAGTTGGGACTGGGGCCTCTCTCAATCACAAGGCAGGAGTAGTCTCTCTCTCTCCTGTGTACATCTGTCCAGGAAGCCGGGGGGGAGAGGGGTCGATTGAAAGAACCCAGCTCCTGCTTTCTTGCCATTGTGAAAGGAAAAAGGAGGGAATCGTTTTCACGGGAGACTGGCTGAGCTAGCTGCAGTAAAAGGGAGAATGGCAGCCAGTTAAAAGACACTTAAGGAATGTAAACATAAAAATAGGAGCCATCTAGTCATGTTGTATTCCTTGCTCTAATCATCTGGAATGGGGTTCTGTAGGCTGATTTTGTAATGGGGGAGGGGGTGGAGAGGTAAAAGGAGGAATGGGGAAGTTGTTACTATACCCATTTTTTTACTATGCAAACTTTTGTTTTACACGTGTATAGTTTAATTTCAATCCTACTTTGGAGTCTGTGATGGGGAGCATAAGACTAGTTCTTGTGTTAAGTTCCTTCTGCTGTTGCAGACCTCATTCATATGCTTAATAAAACTGACATATATAATGGTGAAAACATAACAAATTGCTCTGATTGTGCGTCTCACTAACTGGTCCAGGCAGCTGGACTGAGAATTAGAAACTACCACATATAGGTAATTTATTGAAACTGAAGCTAACTTAAGCAATAGCCCTGCATTACTGTTTGATTGTGCACAGTGTATATTTTTTTGCCTCAGTTAATAATCTGCAAATGGCTCTGTAGCGACAGAGGAATTGGTTTTCTCCATTTACTTCAGCAGGCCTGAGTGAAGCTGGTATTCTGACTGCTTTTTTCAGTGCATTGACATGAGGGAGGAGGATTTAACTTGGCAGCCTGAACAAATGCTCTATCAAAGGTTTCCTAAGAGACAGTAAGAGAGTCGGTGGGAGATGAATGACCTGGGGTAGTTTTAGGGTGCTACCTATGCAAGCTTTCTTTTAAATATGAAATGGCCATTTAGAACCCTGAATAGAACTGTGTGCATCAGAAAGGCGACAGGCTTATAAAATTTAAAAGGGCAAAAGCCCATTAATGCTTTGGCAAAGCTTTGGCTCTGGGCTCTGGTTGAGTAGTTCCAACTGCCTTGAAGTGCCAGAGCTTTTAAGGAATCTTTAGCAACAGCTTCTCTATAGTGGCAATATGGAACTTGGCCTTGTAAATTGGAAGGTTAATGATGCAGTCTCCTCCTCTCCAGACAGGAGAATGGGGGGTGGGTATAGGATATGGATACAAGGGTAAAAAAAAAAAAAAGCCCCACGATAAATGTTTAGGCAGGGCTGTTGCTAATGAAAGACTATTCCAGCTTTAATATACTTGTGCAATCATTTTGCACTGTGGCAAAAGTTCTAACCCAAAATTAATGTACAGGCAACTGAGGAAAAGTTTGACAAAGAGGTTCAGCAAAATTATACACTTAGAACTACTGAGAGTTTTGGGGAGAATTAGGATTAATCTAGCAGACACCGAGTTGGTCTCTGCCTCAAACTTGCACCCCCTTCTTTTGATCGAGGGAAGTTTACTATGGCATCAATCTTCTCTTGGCGGGGCCTGATTCAGGTTTATGAATGCCAGAAGACTTGCGCTGACCTTTTTCTGTTCAACTCGAGGATGTTGAAACACCAGCCATCAAACAAAAGACACATTGAAAGCAAGATCTGCAATAGAGCACGTGTGACTTTGAGGCTGGTTGAGTGCATTTGGTGACACTGTTTTCTTCTGAGTTTGGGTGGGAGTTTGGGGGGAGGGGGGGAGGAGAAAAGGCCATTTATTAAAATGAGATTGTGGAAAAAATGACTTAAAATAATCTAAACACCCCTAATTAGAGGACACAATTTTGCTTTTTTTAAAATCATCACCTTTTTAGTTTCTTCAAAATTCTGAGGCTAAGGAAAGAGACTACAATGTTTTCTTCCTGAGTGCAAAAATTATATGAATTTTGAAGTATCTATCCAGTTTATTTTTTTTTTTAAGAAAAATTGTTTTAAAGAACATGAGAACTGAAGTTCTAGAATTGTCTTTAGGATGTAAAAAGAAGAAAAAAATAAAAAAATGCTCAGGATTTAATTGCCAGATCTGTGGTTTTGCCCTATATCAAAAGTAGTTCTTGTCTACTCTGTAGGCTAAGCTTAAAGGAGATTTTAGTTTCATTTAAAAATAAAAAGCAGAGCCAGTGAATGTAGTATTTCACTTATCTGTCTCATGTCAACATGAGTGGATGCTTTCATTGTTTACAGCGGCTAAGGTTCACAACACCTTAAATAAAATTTAATGATTTCAGAAATTGTGTCTATGGCAAAGGCTCAGTTAAAACTTTGTTGGGGAAAGAACCATGTTGCTGGACATCTATACAGTGAATGTTTTGTAGTGTCTGAGATCATGAAACCTGGCTATGAGTGTGGTGTAGAACTTTGTTTTCCAAAATATTGTATCACACAAAAGATAATAGTTATTTTTTCCCATTACTTAAAGGATTTTTTTTAATAATCAGAAAGTTTTACAAGGAGTTGAAGTGATGGAATTTTAGGTACCATATGTTTCCATTCATAACTTTTCTTGGGAGTTGCCTGCCCTTTACCCTATATCTCTTCCACTTTTATAGGTTCCAAAGGTTTTGTGTCCACAACAAAACTCATGGGTGGTAATTACATCAGTGACACTACAGTTGATCCAAAGTTAGCTGGTCCCTAGCAACTTGACATGTGTGTTATCTGCCAAAAAAGCTTGGTTTCTCACTGTAAACTGGAAAAACGTACAAGTTTGTTAATTTTGTTTTTTGTTTTGCCTTCTGTCTTGCTAACATGTGCCCTAGCATTTGGAGGCAATAGGGGCCCTGCATTTCCAAGTTATACAGAGTACAGTGTGACTTGAGGAGTGAACATAAGGGTGGCTCAGGATCTACTAGTTTTTACTCACTATGTCATAACAACTTGGAATCAAACAGTGCAGAAAGTAATCTAGTTATTGTTCTACGTGTAAAATCTGTTTCTTATACATACCTGGGACTGCAGTTGGTGCCTGTGGTAGTGAATTTGACCACTATGCAACTGACTAATTTGTTCCCTCCTAGTTATACCAATTTCTTTGAAATCCTATACAGTATTAGTGTAAAGACATGGAGAGAATATTGCTGCGGAGTTGAGAATTGGTTTATGATTGCACTCATCAGCTACTGTGCTGACAAGACTTCTTTATCCATTTAAGATGTTGGTTTGTTTTTGAAAGAGGAAGCATATTTCATCAAGATGTAGTACAAAGCAAATATGCATGGGGTATATCCAGTAGTTCAATATGGTAGGAGTGTTTTGTTATTTCACTGAACTTTGTGTGGATCTAAACTTCCCTGCTGACATAAGGCTAGGCAGTGTCAGTGGAGCTAGAATTTATTCTTCAAATGGGTGTCTTTTTGGTTTAAAACAAAAGGTTTGCAAACCCAAGTGTTACTTTGTCATAATGATTTTATTCCTCTCTTCCCCCAAAGCAAAAACTTCTTATGTAGCAATTTTCATTTTATTTGTTTACATTGGATTTTATAGAACAATCTGCATTTAGGTTGGTTAATTTTAGGAAGTTTTTAAAAGGGCTGTAGGTTGCAAGAGAAATGTCCAGGCAAGGAGGTGTAATGGATCATCCTAGTTTGACTGTTGGAGGCAGTAGTGTATTATGAGAGTAGAGATGGTCTTAGGCTTTGTCATGTGATGCTTTTGTTTCTAATAGGTTGAGAAGCATTGAAAACGGAGTGGTTTTTACTACCTGCAAAGGTTGGGCTCTGATTATATGCGCAAAGTGGTACAACTTTCTCCCAAGGAGAGAAGGATGAAAAATAATGTAGACAGTACTTTTCTAGTGGGAGAGAGAAAACTATCTTGTGTAGGTCCTTAGTGTGTCTAGCTAAATTATCCAGCCCATGGTAATAGAAATTAACTTTAATCAGTGGGAACAACCCAAATCTGCAAGGAACATACCCCTCTGTGTAACTCAGAAATGTTCATTTGATTCAAGCTCTCTTATGTTCGCATCTGTTGAGATAATTATACCTTTCAAACATGCATATGGGGGTAAAAGCAGTAGCTTATATTCGTATCATTCAATTCTGGAACAGCTGGATCCAATTGTTTCTGGGGTGAGGGGATGATGGCTTACTTTTTAAAGGTGTCTCTAAAGGGCTAAAAA